GAGGATGATTTTTTTCAATTAGGTATGTATTCCTAAACAAGGCAATGCTACTGATTTCAATTTGATTCATTTCAGGGATTACTCACTTGTAGAGAGTGGAAGATTCAAGCTCTCTCAAATAGTCAGCACAATACTAGATGACAAATGAGTGAAGAAAAATATTTATGAATTAATTGTCTAATTCTACAAGGTGTTGAGCATCCTGAACTACCAATTAAATCCATGACAGTTGAGGGTACGCCATTTCTTTCAGGGTCCGAATCATGGTTTGTAAAGAGTTGTGGGATCTTTAAGGCAGAAAAAGCATTAAGAAAGATAAATAGATTTTATGAAATTGGACTACTGATGTCTTTGTGTATAATAATCAATGTAAGCAGAAGATCTTAAGTTTAAATATGTAAGAAAGTTGTGTCACCATTCAAACTTTCCCTCTGAACTTGACCTAAGGAAAATGAAAGCCTCTTTCAAAACATGTTGGAGTTACATCAACATAATGATAATCTAACAGATCTACTCTCAGATATTATTTAAAAAGCTTTAAAAGCTAACAGCAATAGAGAACCTTCAGTGCTGAAGGAAAGTGTAGAGAGGTAGAGCATGTTAATTATTGCTATTGGAAAAGAAAACAAATTTGTAAAAAAACAAACTGGACTCAACTGAAAACCAAATCAAGTTACATTAGGAGGATTATGGATTTGTCCACCAAATCCTATGTGGAGGAAGTCAAATTATCTGTATACATTTTTCAAACTGACTGCCTTAAGTTTTAGGCTTCACCATTTCCACATAGATACAGTCCTATTAAGAAATCAGAAAGCTCAAGAATTAACACAGGATTTTAATCACCACAAAATGCAAGTGACCTATGTTCTGAACATAGCTGTGGAACCGGATTATTTTTCTACATGATTTCTATAATCAGATATTACAATTACTATATTCCTGATTCTATAAAGAAAACCATTTGAAAACACTAATCAATTAACATTTTTTAGTGGTAGGTTCTTCCCTGACAGGTACAGTATATCAAAAGAACAAACCTCTTTCTGCTTTAGATGAAACTGACCATTTTATATTGAAGAGGGAGAGAGAGATTTGACAGAGTCCACATAATAGTCATAATATCATCCAGATATTTTCTAGTTTTATTCCTCAGGGATCACTGAATCTCAGACCTTATTTCCAAATGCCCACTTTGTTGACCATTTACATATTAGGCAGGGACTGCTTTACAAAAGTCTTACACTGTGCTGCATAGATGGTATAAGTATTAGGACTGAACATAAGTCTTTTTCCTGAATGTGTGCAAATTATCCAATATATGGATGTGTACTTATCTCTGCTCATTGGTTCCCTTACATATGAAGAAGTGCAGAAAGCAATAACAGAATAGTTTTGGTTTCTGACTGGGATGTAACTTTATTCTGGGTTATTTGCAGTGATATTCTGGAGGTATACCTCTACCCCGATATAACGCTGTCCTCGGGAGCCAAAAAAAGCTTACCACGTTATAGGTGAAATCATGTTATATCGAACTTGCTTTGATGCGCCGGAGTGCGCAGCCGTCCCCCCCGGAGCACTGCTTTACTGCGTTATATCCGAATTCATTTTATATCAGGTCACATTATATCGGGGTAGAGGTGTACTGCACAAGAATGAGATGGTTGTTGAATTTCAGACAGCTTTGTGAGATTAATGTCTCTAAGAAGCACTCAGTTCATCAATTTCTATCTCATCATTTATTATATTGCATAAGGAAAGAGAGGGCTCAGACTCAAGCAAGAACTTACAAGATTCTAAATTTTTTAACAGAAAATAGAAAACTGGAATCCAACAAGCAGGTAGGGCTCAATCTCTTTTAGGTTATGTTAATATTTAACAAACTAGATTCAAACACTAATCAAGTCTCCACAGCTTTTTATTTAGCCCTGAGTTAAAGGATCCAGCCACAGGCCCTGTTGAGGTGGCAGCACTACAGAAATGAGTTTGACAGTCTCAGCCTAGCTCGCTTCTTATGGTCATCTCAGAAACCACTACACAATTTGGCACAATTAACAGTGCCCGATCTCTGACTCAAAGTGCTGCAGATTAGGATTAATATGTACCTGCAGATTTGGGTGGAAAAGAACATCCGACTGGCCTTACTGGGTCAGGCCATTAGTTCATCTAGTTTAGTATCCTCCTTTCTGACAGTGGCCAGTAATAAAAGCTTCAGAGGGAAAGAACAGAATAGGGCAATTTATAGAGTGATCCCTGTCCTTCAGTCCCAGATTCTGGCAGTCAAAGATTTAGTGACATCCAGAGCATGGGGTTGCATCCCTGACCATCTTGGCTAATAGCCATTGATGGACCTTTCTTTTTTGACCCTTCGCAACATCCCCAGCAATGAATTCCATGGGTTGCCTATGCGTTGTGTGAAGTACTTCATTTTGTTTCTTTTAAACCTGCTGTCTATTAATTTTATTAGGTGACCCCGGTTCTTGTGTTATGTTATTCACTTTCTCCACATCATTCATGATTATATGGACCTCTACCATATCCCCCTTAGTCATCTCTTTTCTAAACTAAACATAGAATCATAGAATATCAGGGTTGAAAGGCACCTCAGGAGGTCATCTAGTCCAACCCCCTGCTCAAAGCAGGACCAATCCCCAACTAAATAATCAACAGTCCAAGTCTTTATCTCTCCTCATATGGAAGTTGTTTCATACTCCTAATTATTTTTGTTGCCTTTCTCTGTACTTTTTCCATTTCTAACGTATTTTTTTTTAGATGAGGTGACCAGAACTGTATGCAGTATTCAAGGTATGGGCATACTATGGATTTATACAGTGGCATTATGATATTTTCAGTCTTAATATCTATCCCTTTCCTAATGGTTCCTAACATTCTGTTAGCTTTTTTGACTGCTGCAGCACATAGAGCTATCCACAATGACTCCAAGATTTCTTTCCTGAGTAGTAACAATTTAGACCCCATCACTTTGTATATATAGTTGGGATTATGTCTTCCAATGTGCATTACATTGCATTTATCAACATTGAATTTCATCTGCCATTTTGTTGCCCAGTCACCCAGTTTTGTGAGATCCTTTTGTAACTCTTTGATCAGCTCTGAGTGAACGATCTTGAGTAATTTGGTATCATCTACAAATTTGCCACCTCATTGTTTACCCCCTTTTCCAGATCATTTATGAATATGTTGAACAGCGCTGGTCCCAGTACAGACCCTTGGGGCATCCTGCTATTTACCAATCTCCATTGTGAAAACTGACCATTTATTCTTTTGTTTTAACCAAACATTTGTTTTAACCCTAACTTTTAATCAGTTACTGATCCATGAGAGATCACCTTTACTCTTTCCTCTTATCCACGATTGCTTATTTTGCTTAAGAGCCTTTGATGTGGGACCTTGTCAAAGGCTTTCTGAAAGTCCAATTACACTATATCAACTGGATCACCCTGTCCACATGTTTATTGATACCCTGAAAGAATTCTAGTAAGCTTGTGAGGCATGATTTCTTTTTACATGCCTCTTCCCCAAAATATAATGTTAATATGTGTCTGATAATTCTGTTCCTTATTATCATTTCAACCAATTTGTCTGGCAATGAAGTTAAGTTTATCAGCCTGTAATTGACAGGATTGCGTCTCAAACCTTTAAAAAAAAAAAAAAAAAACAAGTGTTACATTAGTTACCCTCCTGTCATCTGGTACAGAAAGCCGATTTAAGTAATAGGGTACATACCACAGTTAGTAGTTCTTCGATTATATACATGAGTTCCTTCAGAACTCTTCAGAGAATACCATTTGATCCTGTTGACTTATTACCATTTAATTTAAAACTTGCTCAGCAACTAGTGAAAGCTACTGCAACTGTCATCCACTTCTATAAACGCTCATTTCACTCAAACCATTTAAAAAAGGAAAAGGAATCAAATGCTGTTTATGAATAATTGGCATATTGCTTCTTAATTAACCGAGAAACACACTAGTACAGATATAGACAGTAGAAAAGCCTTTTAATTATTGTTATGATAGACACTAACCCAGTATGGAAGAAACATCAATAGTTATATACTATTAAAGAAAGAAAATTGAAGTACTTTCAAATTAAAAGTAAGATTAAGGGAAGAAGGATGATTTTGTATTGAAGCCGCAACTCTGAAAGACCTGGATTTTATCTCTGACTCTGCCATTGACTTTCTGTAATACCTTGGGCAAGTAATTTGACCTTTGCATGTCTCAATGTCTTCTCCTTTCCCAACATTTTATCTATGAGGAAAAGAGTCTCAATTTTTTATAATTTTATGCACACACTCACAAGCCCAGGTTATACTAGGTGCTTTACAGAACAAATAAACCCAAAGTGTTTACAATTGAGTTGATCCTCACTCATTGCAATGCATCTAATGTACAGTAGAGGTTAGACACAGACCATAACAATAAAGTCACATGGTTATTCAGTTATGGTCTATGCACATCTTGATGGTTCAGTTAATTTAATAAAAAAAAGTCTTGTGGGAGACAGAGCCTGGGCTAGAGAGGCTGCCATGGATTATGAGACATATATTTTAGATGGGTGCCATGGCAAGGGGCATTCCCTCTTTGTACAGCATTCACCACCACTGAATTTGTACGTGCAGGGATCTCCTCTCTCCACATCTGAATATTGCTATGTCCCTGACACTCATCATTTTCCAGGGAGAATTCTTCTGTTATTTTATAGTCAATCATGGATCGATGCTTATTTTAAGTGTATACAGACTTTTTGGATAAGAATTTTAACGGAAGAAGGACTAGGAAACAGCATTTCCAATCTACAGTCAGAAAAAAAAAAAACACCACACAATTCAATGGAACTAATAGATCATTAGCACACAGAAATAGGTATACAAAATAACCTAACAGCTTTGAAGCAAGAAAAGTCAATTTAATCCTATATGCAAACATGCAGAGTTGACAAGTTTCAAGGCATACATTCTTGCAGTTAACACTTACCTGTAAACAATTCTCTCTCTGTGTAAGTCCTCCAAGCCGCAGCAGAGCTCTGCAGCATAGAAAACAGCCCTTTCTTCATCAAAGCCAGGATTTCCCATGTTGTAAATGTGAAACTTCAAATCCCCTCCATTCATAATGGTTAATACTAAACATAGGGCATCTTTAGTCTCATAGGTGTAGGATAAACTAACCTAAAGACAAAAAATACTTGTTGGTTCATTCATGATCCCCAATTTCATCCCTTCTTTCTAATTCAGTCAGTAAATAGTACTTTTATAATCAGCCAATTAAGCAATAGGTTAACCCTGCTAAAGTTATGTTTCGGACAACCAGCCATTTTAATTTCCCAGAGTGTACGGGGAAAACCCACAATCAATCACCATTGTTAACTTTGGGGCAAAAGAGTCCAAACTGATTATTAGCCAAGACCACAGTATGATGAAAACTTGTACAGGAGAATGGCTTATGCCCCTGAAACACCACCCCAGATATCGGATCTCTTAACGGCTATGCCCTTCCGTTTTCAGTCCACATGGATGAAGATAACTTGCACACAGAGTACCTTTCCATGAACACTTAGAAATGCATAATCACTGTTTGTAAAAAGTGAGACTTAGAGAAGCACACAGAGAGGCTGTAAATTGCCCCAAGTCAGACAGAGTCAATGACACACCAAGATATATAACGCAGAATACCCAACTTCAAGTCCCTTACTCTAGCCACTAGAATAGTCATTTCCTTTCTTGATAACAGCACCCTCTAACAGTGAAATGAAGAGCTGCATGAAGCCAAGCATAGTATCTCCTCTCATTGGTTGGCTGAAGGCACAGTATCCAGAATGAGGCATCAGCAGGGCAGGCAGAGAAGTGAAAAAGCCAGAGGGGTAGCAGGAGACAAACAAAATAAAAATACAAAGTGGAAAAAAATCTACATCAGAACTGCCACAGGAGTCTGTATAGCATCCTGCATACAAAATACATCTTAAAATGTTTGATTAAAATTCAATACAAACAGAAACACAGATCATACATTGTCCAAGAAGTGAACTATGGACAGTATGGTAAAAGAAAGTGAAACACTCAGTTATAAAGCCAATACCCAGACACTTAAGGTATGTCTACATTGCAATTAAAAACCTGCAGCTCCTGGGCTGTTTCATTGCAGTGTAGACTTCCAGGTTCAGGCTGGAGCACAGGTGGGAGAGTCCTGGGCTCCAACCTGAACATGGAAGTCTACACTACAATGGAACAGCCCTGCAGCTCAAGTCAACTGGCACAGGCAAGCTGCAGGTGTCTAACTGCAGTGTAGACATACCCTAAGAACCACAAACAAGAAGAGATTATGTGCTTTAAGAAATAAAATGTCGATGAGATGAAGAAATATAGGAATGCTGTTCCAGACCACAGAACTGAAGAAGGAAGCCTAGTACCTGTGGCAGGATTGTGTGACAAGAGGTAAGACTAGAGAGACACCTTGTGGCTATTTCTAGACTAGAATTCTTGCTGAGGCTGGTACTCAAGTTAACTGGCAATTAAATGACTTAACACTACAAATATTTGTTCCAGGAAACAAAACATTGTGGCTTACCCTAGAATTCAGTGAGTCTTAATTAGCATTTACAAAGGTGTTAAGCAACTTGAGTTAACTGGAAGTTGATTAACTTCCAGTAAAATCTCTAGCCTAGACATATCCTGTATGTGAAGCAAAACTGTGGAAATATTTAAAAATGCAGAAGGCAGTTTTAAACTGGATCCTATTCAATGTACCTGGGCAGTGGCAATTTTCCTAACAAAACTGTGTCTCATTCATATTCCTCATCCTGCCCAGGTGCTATACAATGGCCTGGTCTACACTGGGGAAGGGGGGGAAATCTATCTAAGTTACGCAACTTTAGCTACGTGAATAACGTAGCTGAAGTCGATGAACTTAGATCGACTTACCATGGTGTCTTCACTGCGGTGAGTCGACTGCTGCCACTCCCCCGTTGACTCCACCTGCACCTCTCACTGAGCTGGAGTACAGGAGTTGACAGGAGAGCGTTCAGGGATCGATTTATCGTGTCTAGACTAGATGCGATAAATCGACATACGCTGGGATCGATGGCTGCCCGCCGATCCAGCGGGTAGTGTAGATATACCCAATGTCTGTGCATGTTTGGGGAACTCAGCTATTTCTTGTTTCCTCAAGGTGCAGCAAGACAGAAGATTGTTTCGCACATGAAGCAAATAAACTTTGAGATATCTTCCTAAACAAAATCTTGGGCAATAAAGTGACTGGCTAACAGAGGTACAGATGGTTAGGCTGATGCATCTATGCAACAGAAAAACTAGGTTAGAACCAAGTTGCAGCCTGATAATCCCATTCCAGCCCTGACTGTAAGTAGGGATGACACATGATACACTCACAGTATTAGAAATAGTGTGTCAAATAGGGGCAAAAGTCAAATGCAGAGTCAGTCATGTTATAACCTTATATCTGCAATGTAGACAGGTCTTTAAGGTGTCCTGCTAGTCCCACTAGACAAATGCAACTACCAAGTGAAATGAAGTCTGAACCAGCCTCTAATTCCTTCACATATAAATCCCACATGAGGGAGATTCAATATTACATATTTTATTTCTCAGAGACAGACAGAACAGTGGCTACCCTTATCAATTTTTCAGCAGATTTTATATTGACAAATTAGGTGATACATAAGTTAGTCCTTAAAATTAACTGGCCTTCATTTTTGAATTTGAACATTTTTGCTTTGAAAACTAGCTATATGCTCCTTACCATGAACAGATGGGATTAGCATTGGTCACAGAACGGGAAGAGAGTCAATATTATTACTAGATTAAAGCCAGAGAGAACATTATGATTATCTAGTCTGCTCTCCGGCATAAAAAACACCATCGAATTTTTCTATGTGATTCCTGTATCAAGCCCAATAACATCTGTTTGAAAAAGAGCATATATTTTAGAAAGACAGTTATTCTTGTCAAAAGATGGAGAATCTATCACATCCCTAGGTAAATTGTTCTAATAGTAAATTATGCTCACTTAAAAATTTGCACCTTATTTCTAGTCTGGAGTTGTCTAACTTCAGTATCAACCCATTATATTATACCTGGTCTACTAAATTAAAGAGCAATTGTCTAGTGTCCAATTAGCTGATAAACCAGTATTGGAGGGGGATTTAAAGGAAGGTCTCCTGTAAAGAAGCTTGGGGCTCCTAAAGTCTGATACAGTGGGGAAACAACCCTCCCCCCCTTTCCCCAGCCTCCCTTAACTTTCATATGAGGGGCAGGCAACAGGGTCCCAGCAATGGCCTGGGACCAGGTTGGGAAAGGGGAGTCCCAAATAGATGGAAATAGAAGAAAGAATGAAGACCTGAACTGTATTCATAGATTCATAGATTCTAGGACTGGAAGGGACTTCGAGAGGTCGAGTCCAGTCCCCTGCTCTCATGGCAGGACCAAATACTGTCTAGACCATCCCTGATAGACATTTATCTAACCTACTCTTAAATATCTCCAGAGATGGAGATTCCACAACCTTAGGGTTACCATCCGTCCGTATTTCCCCGGACATGTCCGGCTTTTGCGTCTCTAAATAGCCGTCCGGGAGGAATGGTAAGAGGAGTGGGGGGGGCAGTCAGGGAGTGGGGGAGTGTTGGATGGGTCCCCAGCCTCCACCTCCACCCCCCCTCCGTGCATTCCCCCCTCGATGGGTCCCCCATTCCTGTCTGCCTCTCCGTTGTCTGCTGTGCTGGCTCTGGCAGTACAGGCAGACAACTGCTGTCTGCTGCCCCCGGGTCCTAGTGCCCCCATCCACTAATGGGAAGACAGGCTGCCCTTACCCTG